CGGTACTGGCTTCACTACACATTTCCTTAACGGTACTAACTCCACTTCGTCGACCGGTACCGTTACAGAAACGTCCACCTAACTATACCAGTACTGACTCCACATCGTCAACCGGTACTGGTATTCCATTTCGGTAATAGTACTGACTCCAAGTTCGTCAACCGGTACTATTACCGAAACCACATATCATCCAGTGCTGACTCCAAGTTTGTCAATCGGCACTAGTTCCATATCCACACATCCCCGTACTAGCACTGACTCACGCCGTCAACCGGTACTAAGTACGGGATTCCATTACTCCTTCAATCGCATGCTTTATCATAATCATATAACCGTTACACCCATATTATTTTTGAGTTTTTCTCTAGAATTATCCTTCGTGTGCACTTCAGTTTGCGGATTAATACCTTTCCTTATGTGCATTTCTACCTTTTTATATTCGTTTGACATGCTCATTTAATCCTAGTTCGTTTGATTATCATTTAACACCGTATTACCGTTTAATCCATTTGAATCTATAGTTGGGGTTGCAGCCAGTCCGTTCGGCCACTACGTGGACCGAATGGTCCAGCCATTTTGGGATTTTTCACTGTTCAAAGTGCCTAGACCGTCCGTTCTACGAGGACATACCGGACGTTCCGGTTCATTCAGAACGTCCGTTCTACATGGTCCAGACCGGCGGTCCTGCGCACTCAGACCGTCCGTTCTCCCTTGTTTCTCAGACCGGACGGTCTGGGTTCTGCTGGGACGGTCGTTCCTGTTCGTTTCTACGTGTTCGTTCTGCCGTGTCCCAGAACGGACGGCCTACGTCCGTAGACCGGACGGTCTGGGACCCAGATCTTCGTCTTCCTCACGAGCTTAGTCCGATTTTCGCCATTTTTGCCCAAATTCTGATCCGATTTAAGGTTTAATCGTTACCCACTCAATACTTAACATTCCTAAGTGATTAACTCTTGCAGAATCACTAGTCTACACCATAAATCATGAAAATAGAATCTCACGAATACAATCCAAACCACTCACATCGGATTTTCGCGAGATGCGTTTTTGTCCGAGCTTGTACGAGTTCTACAGGTCGTTCTAGGCTCTGAAACTCTCCAGAATTCTTCTATGCCCGCCCCTCTAGGGTTCCTTGAGCTCTCCTCGTCCCTGTTCTTCCTCCAACTCTGTCTTTCTCTCTTTTTTCGCAGTCGCAGTGTTTTTCTCGAGGATGGCTCTGTTGCTCTGTTTAGGCCGGTTAAATGGGC